GCAGCCAGGACGTTAAGTAGAAACAATAAGCTAAGTAAAAACGCCTGCCACAGTGTGGGCACCAACTTCCTAGAGCTGGAGTGGTTAAATGTATCTCTCTGTTAAATGCAGCTCCCAGTTAAACACAGCTCTCTGCCAGGCCTGTGGGCTTAAGGCTTGGCTCTCGTAGACCCAAGGAGGGAGTGGAGCCAACCATCAGAGCCACACAGTGGAGTGCCTAGCTGCCACTTAGAGTTTAAGGTTTGGCTCATACAGTCAGAGAATGTCACAGGTACACAGTAAAGCAGCAGGTCCAGACTGAAAAAATTTTTTAGACAGGTTACAGTGTGTTTAAAAGTGTGTATAGGCATTTAAGAAAGAAAAGAAAATGGGGATAGATAGTCAAAGGAAAAAAATCAATAGTTTAAAAATAATAAAGTCTTTAAAGTGAGAATAAAGTAATATAAAGGAAAAAAGCCACGTAAAGATGGGAAATATACAGGGGTCTGGATCCTGTATGGTATTGTGTTGACTTTGAATTTTATGAAAGCTGATGAGCACATGACAGCTGCTAAGAGACATGGGATTGTAAAAGGGACTGCTGAAATAAACCAGCCTAGATATTTTAGGGATGTCAACCATAAAATGGAATTCAGAAAATGTATTGCATTGGGGGAGAGGTTATGATTTTGTTTCCACAGGAAATGAAAGGCTGTGGATTCCTTCAAAGTTAATAGAGATCAGGTTTGATTGGGTGAGACCTCCTGAAAATCTTGGCTACAGATATAAAGAAATAAACCAGGAAAAAATACAAGACAGGTGACATATATGCTGATCCCCCTGCGTGGGAACAGTTCTGAAACTGGACAACAAATGTTACAAGTCCCAGGACTTGACCATTGTCTCAATTTTCTCAGAGTCCCCTGGAAATGTCATCACCCCCAGACAACAGGAAGCAGTCTAGAAAACATAATACCTACATTCCCAAGAGGTGGGGTGGGTGTTTTTTGGTAAATTCGGTGGGTTATGAATATTTGCCATCATTTAGTGGGGATATAGGAATATAGGATAAAAAGACAACCATTCATCTCAAATACTTTACATTGATATGGGTTTTTGTATATTGATACAAATTTAAGGCTAATTTTGTTGTACCATACATATGTTTCTACTCTTGTTTAAGGTATTGTAGTTATGCAGCTCATTAAAATGTATATAAAGTTCTAGTCCTTGAAAGCTATTATTACAAACTGGTTAGGATAATTAAAAACGCAAGTTAGTAGTTAGTCATCTCTAACAATCAAACTTGTAGTTATGTTAGGTATGTTTTCAAGGTTAAAGAGATATATTTTAGATAGATAGGGGATCTTCAAACACTTCAGAGACCTACAGAATATGGCATTTAAGATGTTTAGTAACTTAAGGCTTTTCATGACACTGAGACATTTCTGTTCCTGGTAGCACCAATCCACTTCATAAAAGGATGATGGGAGTTGAAGAATCTCCATATGGAGTTTGCTTTCACTGTGGCAAAGCTAGCCATATGGGCAAGAAACTGTCCTTGCCTCAACAGCTAACATTATGTATACTGTATAAACTGGACAAGCAGGACACAAAGGAAAAAGACTGCCAAACTTTGCCAAGACAAGGTGGGACAGTCCTTCAAAATTCCTGCCTCATAGAAAAGTTTGCTAGATATTCTAGGCCTTAGGCCGAAGACAGATGCCCCAGCATTGCAAATGAACCTTGGATGACTGTCCAGGCAGTCAAATGTCTCTGTCATTTCTATAGTTTTGGAAGTGGCTTGCACTGCATTTCCTGTTTATTCAGGTAATGTTATATCCTTCTTAGGTCTTTGATGAAGTTGAAGACTAGATAGTTATAGTTGAAGTTATGATAGAAGGTAAATTAGGTGCAAAACTGTGGACTCACCAAGATGGGATAAATAATGGAGTATCTTCTCTGAATTTGCCAAATACAAATGGACTGAATACTGTAAATGTAATTCTTACCTGATAATTGTTCTTATTGTATATAGTTACTATGTTAGAGTTAAAGCCTTTCCTTTTTATTTAGACAAAAAGGGGGAAATGTGGGATATTTGTACAGTGTGTAAAAATGTGTTACTGTGATTGGTATAATAAAAAGCTAAATGACTAATAGCTAGGCAGGAGGTATTGGCAGGACTTCTGGGCACAGCAAGAGGAAGGAGGAAGAGATAATCACGGTGTTGGGAGACACCAATGAGACCTGGAGGGATTCAAACATACAGAATGAAAGGTAAAAAGCCACAAAGGAAAATGTAGATGAATAGAAATGGATTAAATTAAGTTGTAAGAGCTAGTGGGACAAGCTTAAGCTAAAGGCCGAGCTTTCATAATTAATAAGTCTCCATGTCATTATTTAGGAGCTGGTTGGCGGCCCAAAGGAAATTCCAACTACAGTTACCAACACTCACACTATACGTCTAAGAGCTTATCCACTCATCACTAGGCACAGCACCAGGTACTTAGCACACATCCTATGTCCTCACATAACCCATGAATCAGTTTGGTGGGCACTGTGGTACACAGAGGACTCACACCATGAGTCGGAGAACCTAGATGTGCTCTCCATCACAGGCACTACGGAGATGAGCTCCTCAGTCAGCACTGTTCTGTCTATTACTATTTCCATTCCCACATCCATGAGGCGGCCAGGGTGGGTCCTCATCTAATAGAACAGGACACTAATGGACAGTGCAAGCCAAAGACCTGGCTGTTGAGCAGCAGCTGAGTGGGAAATGGTGCTTGTGGCTGGCCTGCCTACTACAGGCCTCCCTGACTGGATCTTCACTCAGCTACCCTTCACAGGACACCCTGGGAAGGGCAGCAATGGTTGCTGGGCTTAAAGAGTATTAACATCCTTGTCAGTGAGAATAAGAGCATAACCTCGCCTCCATTCACAGATGGAGGAAGCTTGGTCCTTGGCTTTGGGAAGTAAATGCTGAGGGGCAGAAGTCAGGCAAGGCTCCCCTCCTCATGCCCAACTGTCCTTCATGCTGCTCTTGGGATGTGGGCACCTCCTAGCCCCCTCAGATGTTTGGTCTGACAGCTGTCAATGAAATCTATACCTCTCCCTTCTGGCTCTACCAGTCAACGGCTGCTTGAGGTCATCTGGAGCTTGCTATCCTCTGCCATCTGGCCATCTGTGAAAATGGCTAAGTTGTGCTATAGTTCAGAGACAAGTAGAGCCCTGTGTGAGCCACAATGGAGAGAGTGTTGAGAAGAAATACACTTTTAGGGTTCTGAGTTATCAAGGTCTACTACTTTTGAGACCTCTCTTCACCACACCGTCACCTCGCCCCATTCTGACTATCACAGTACCACAACCAACACAGCACCCCAGAAGCCAGCACCATGCTGTGGAGTAGGAGCAAGGAGCAGAAATCAGGCAGGTCCCAGAGATCCAACCTCCAGGGGCTCCCAAACTTGGCAGGGGACAAGCACAGTCCATGTAGACCCCTCTGACCAGAGGAGATGAGGGAAGGAAGGAGGCAGCCCTGGAATTGGCCTTGAAGGACAAGTTGGACTTGGGAAATAGGTGGAGGTATTCCCAGAAGGAGAAGCAGCAAGAGCAGGCAGGATGACAGGATGAATACTGTGATGAGAGGTCTGGGATGATCGGAGGCCAAAGACAAAGGGCCATTGGAAGATCCCGGTGCTGTGGCCACGGTTCTGGACATGGCGGGAGTCAGTCTCAAGGTTTGTAAGGAAGGACAACATAGTACGTGGTTGTTTTTTGCTATGATTTCCTTGCAGCCAGCTGAACAGGGTATGAAAGGCAGAGAGACACAAAAGTACGGCTGGTCATGGGATACTGTGGTGACGCACGTGGGGACACTGAGGAACAGCGCAAAAGAGAGCAGGAGGCAGAGGCCAGCAGCTAAGGAGAAAAGGCATCAGGACTTGAGGGTGAACCTTGGAAACAAAGGGCATCTCCCCATGATGCCCTGTAAGCCACAAACAGTATGCAAGCCAGGAAGACAGAGGGGCTTAGAAGTCAGAAAGGGCAGGCCAGACCTAGACTGTGAAGGGTAGATGATGATGGTGGAGGGAACAGCATGCCCCTGAACACTCTGGGCATGGCAACCAGGGATGAAGGTAAGGATGGACATGGACATGTACACGTGGGGCCAGACTAGGGAGCAGGGTAAGGAACATGGGTCTTGTTTCACTGTCTCTGGGATTCAAAGCTGTGGCTCGTGGAACGATGCTAAGCCACCAATATGTTTTGTTTGGCAGATTTCAAAAGCCAATCTGAGAGCCAATGTTGAAAGCCAAAAGAATTCACACCAATATGTTCACATGTTGGGCATAGGATCTGTGCAGGGATCTGGCAGGGCTGAGCCTAGGTCCCCACTTGAAGTGACTCTTAAAGAGGCTGTCGAGCATTGTGGTGTAGGAGCAGCCGCCCTCTGTACACAGGGCACAATCCCCATCTCATGTCCTGCAGGCTCTCTCTATACATATGCTAAGCCAGCCTGTCAGGCCGTGTGACCATCTGAGTCCTTGATTCATCATTGCCTTAGAGCAAGTTATTACCAGACTCTTCCAAGTACGGGAAGGCACCTACCTGCCACTGATCAAAAGATGACCAGGACCAGCACTGGAAACTTCCCTGAAAGTTCCCAGTCAAGCCAGGGACAAGACAGACAGGACATGCATTCAAGATACCAAGCAAGCAGTAAGGGCTTAGGATGATTCCTCACCAGGAGCTTGCGGGCCTCAAGGTGCGATGGATTCCCTGGGCAGGCAGACATTCTAAATATCTGACCCCAACAAAGGCTTGACAGAAGCATGGGGTCTTGTCACATCAGGAAGAAAGTGAACTCTGCAGGCTATAGAACTCAACATGCAAAGGCAATTCTCAGGAGCTCTGCTCTCTCCCTGGGGCAGAACAAGACACGACCTCTCAGAGAGGCCAGCCTCTTTCTAGCCACGCATTTCTACCCTGGTCCGGGTCCTCACTCAAGCACTCACCCAGGGTCTGCTGGTTGCGGACACCACCGATCACCACGCAGATCTCGGCAGGTACGTCGCCAGTTCCATCCTTGCCAACCGCCTTCTTCTCATCCTTGGCCTCGCCCTGCCAGATGACCTCCTGTATGTAGTCGTCCGGCAGTTCCGTTTTCACCTTCACCTCCGTCATCGTCCCCTGCTCAGCACTCAGCGAGGCCTCAGCAGGCACTGGCTCTGGGCCCTCCACCTTGGCGTTCTTCTGACTGCGCTTCAAGCGCTCCCTGGGAAAGAAGAGAGGCCGTTCAGAGGGGATCCTCCATAATGGCCCGCTGGCACACAGGGAACCCACCTGCCCTGAGCACCATACAGACTTACGTCAATGCTCTGTACTGAATGCAAAGGAGGGCTCCTTGGCTTCCCCTATCAGCTCCATTTTACATCTGGGTAAGAGGAGGTCTAAAGACTTCCAGGAGTACCCAGCTGACCTCCTGTCATTTGTACAACTGGAGTCACAAGCTACCTCAAGGGGCACCTCTGGCTACTGGCAATGTATTCCTGTCCAACTTTAAGCTGGGGGCCTGCCTTCATAGATTCGAGGTCTGGTTCAGGCAGCCTGGGCTAGTGCCTGAGACTCTATTTCTAACAAGCCCCAGGCCAAGCTGGGGTCTGGTCTGCCAACAGCACTCTGAGCAGCACGATCAGAGCATGCCAAGTATCTCGCACTGTTTCTGTTCCTTGGCAGCAGGACCACAGATCACATCCAAGCTCTTTTCTACTCCCACTTTAGATGGGAAAACATCAGTCCCAAGAGGCTCTCGTGGAGAGGGGGTGAGAGAGTCAATGGGTTGGCACGGGACTGCTCTCCAAGCATCTGAGAACATCCTCCAGGACCTGAGGTCGGATGGAACTGGACAGGACGCCGAGTGCGTTCTGTAGCGTGGAGCAGAGCCATGGCTTGCCTAGGTCATAAAGGCAGGCGCAGGCAGGCGAACACACGCAGCCAGGGCTCTGGCACCCACACCCGGGCCACTCTTCCCACATTGCTCTCCACGGGTTCCCACATCCTTTCAGTAGGCAAACCATCCTCACAACTTCCATTTGGGAGGTGAGTAAGGCAAGATAGGCCCAGGATGAAAATCAAGTCTCATTCCAGGCCCAGGGACACTGCCTGGCCATGCCTGGTCCTTTCTTCTGCTCAGAGAAGCCTAGACTCAAGGCATGTTCAGGTCTGGCCACATGTCGAGCAAAGCGGAGCACTGTGAAGGCACGTTGATGTATGTGGGAGGCAGGGCCTGGAACTTGGTCCTGGATCTACCTGGACCCTGCTGTGTGGACCTGTAGAGGCCCCGCTCTCTGGGTCTCGGAAGCTACAATAGTTGAGGAGCAATGGTTTCACTGCGCAAGTTGATTCTCTAACTGCAGCTGCTCCCAGAGGGGCAGAAGGTTGATGCTGGGCAAAGAGAGAATCCTTGAGGGCCTGCACACAAGGGAGGCACAGAGAAAGGCAACTGGGGAGCTACTCTGGACCAAACTGTGCCCACCCACCCCCAAACTCACGCACTAATATCCAAACCGCAAACGTGGCTGTTTCTGGGGCTGCAGTGATTGGGAAATAATGAGGGTTAAATGAGATCCCCATGGTGGAGCCTTCCTGATGATGTTAGTGACTCTTGGACCAGCAAGAAGGCTCAGCCAGGAAAGGCGTTTGTCATCAAGCCTGATGACCTGAGTTTCATCCCTGTGACTCACACAGTGGAAGGAGAGAACTGACTCCCACAGGTTGCTCTTTGCCCTCCACACACTTTATAACATGCCCCCCACTCCATGATAAATAAATTCACAAAGGTTATTCTCTCCAACAGAGGGCACAGTGGTTGTCTGCAAGCTTGGTAGTAGCCCCTCCCCGGAGCTTAAGCCATCTGACTCCAGACTTGGCCTCAAGTCTCCAGCCTGGTGAAACACTATGCCCGGTATTCCACTAACCACCATCCAAGCAAAGCAGGGGAGGGGCCAGCTGTTCACTCCCTACTCAGCACCTCACCTTGAAGCCTGGGTCTCCTCATCTGCAAGCACAGCTAACAGGGTTGTCACGTGTGAACACACAGAAAACACTTAGCAGAGTACTTGGCCCATTAATAATGACCTGCTACTAGGTCCTGGTGAAGCTGCCTGCCGGGAGACCTCACCAGAGCTGAACTCAGGCTGGTTCTTGAACTTCCACGAGTGTAAGCTGAATAAACCTCTGTTCTTTAGAAACTACTCAGCCTTGAGTAGTTGATGACATCAACAGAACACAGATTAACAGAGGGAGCACGGAAGACTCTTCCATGGCATGTAGTCTAGCACATGGACTATAATGCATTCAACCCACGGCTCTCCAAATGCCAGCTCCAACACTGCTGAGAACCAGGAGGGAGACCCCGAGCTGCTCATGAGACAGAAATAAACATACTGATTGAGAAAAGGTGGCCACGAGTCACATTTTCAGACATGAAGAGAGCTGCCAAAGGCCTGGCCAAGGCTTGATCTCTCCAAGGTTTGTCAAGTTCAGAAACAGGACAGAAAGGAACGTCACCGTCTCCTCCCCAGCTTGCTCCGCCATATTCTCAATTTCAGCACTGCTACCCACCCTGAAGAGACCCCATGTCCCTTCTTGATCGTAAAGTCCTCATTAGTTCCAGGCCACCCCGTGAGGGCAAGAGGAAGTGTGGGTCAGACACACTGTGGAACTCTAACCTGCTCGCCCATGTACCCTGCAGTGTTGCTCAAAAAACCCTCCCCAAGCCTTCGTTTCCATGTCTGTTACGTGGGGATCCTTGCTGGACACAAGGATGGGTGGGGACATCTGTAAGGAGTCCAACTGGACCACTGGCCTGAAATGGATGTCCCTACAAATTTCAAATAGCAGTTATCATTATGACAATGACATTGGTTCATGGTGTCACTCTTGCCACCATGAAGCCTTCCTAGCACGATGGAGCCATAATGCCTCTGCAGAAGGCACATCTCCCTCCCACAGGTGACTCTCACAGCGACTGGGCACGCTTATGAATTCTCTTTGGCACACGTGTCCCCCTTGTGACCTCACTGTCCAGCCTCTCCGCCATCACCTTGTTCTATTTTCTCCGCAGCCCTGGCTGCGGTCTGCAGTGTCTTGTCCATTAATGACTCACCAAATTGTTCACGCCCTCAGAGCTGTCTGCGTAACACTGTACCTCCAGCATACAGCAGGCACACAGCAGATGCTCCAGAAATGCTGTACTTGCTCAACGATCAAGAGAAGACAGGCCACCTGGTACACAGGCATTGGGACTTGGGCTTGCTGTGACCCACAAGGGCTCGCTAAGGCAGCAGATGGATCTACGCTTAAGGGAGCCATACCCATCCGCAACAGGCCTGGGTGGACATATAGTACAGGGAGACTTCAGGGCATGGCGCCAACTCAGGACTTGAGGCCACATCTCCTGACCCCTGGGACCTCCAGACGGGTCACCAGGGTTCTAGAGTGAGGAAGAGCAAATGATTTCTTCCCAAGGGCAGGTAGACTCTTAGCCCCTTCCCCGCCCCTACTACATTCTAAATAAGAGCTTGCTCTGGAAATCCATCTGCAGCTGTGTGAGCAGCCTGACCCCTTGACTCAGCCCATGGATGGGGATCATGACAGCCGCTCTTTGGCCACAGGTGTGTGTGTGACAGCACGACACCGAGCTACCGGCTCCCCTTCTGTTAATGCTCGTGGTGCTTAGGACACACCCGGGCAGCTTCCATCTCTTCCCCAACTCCTGCACTGAGATTTACAAGCCCAAACCTCTCTCTTCCTCAGCTGCTCCGCATTTAATTAGGTGTCCTAATAACAACGGCATCACACAAGTACTTAGATCACTTTGAATTAGTGGTGCAGCTCCTTCCAACTTCTTAAAAAATTTTTTTTTCATATATCATTTTTTAAAATAGAGCTCATTATTTTAATTATATCCATTTAAATGTACAGTGGAGCCCTTGAATATTCTCAGCACGAATCATTAGGTATATTAGTGGAAAAGCACTCAGAATCTATCTACATGCTGACACTCCATAATCTATTCTATTTGTGTCGCTGTAAAATAGATTTATATATAGATAACTACAAAATAGTTGCTCAAGATATGCTGTGAATTTTATATTTAACCCGAGTCACACTTCAACATCCAGTCCAAAGATGGGCACTGGAAGGGTATTTCTCAGTAAGTACCTGCTACCCCTGGTCACTGATTACTTTGAGTGTGGACTGACCGGAGAGAGGCCAGACTAAATGGGTCCCCTGCCCAAGGAGGTTCTGAAAGCTCCTGCCCATCTCTTGGGTAACGGTTCTCCAAGTGTGTTCCTCGAGGGCTTAGGTGTTCTGTTGCAAAGGCTCACAATCACCCAGGAGGCTAGGATGGCGAGCATGGCCATGAGTAGGACTCCAAGACCCCATTTCCTTCATTTTCAACAGACACAACTTTGTTCTGTTGCCTGACACTGATATTTGAGTTTCTTCCTTGTAGTGGGGTGACTGGAGCTCCCCCAAAAGGCATGTCTACATCCTAACCCCAGAATCTGTGAACACGCTTTTTCTGCATGTGTATGTGTGGGCTTGCGGGGGGGGGGGGGGGGCGGTGCTAGCAAAAAGCTAACACCTCACTTTAACACCTCACTTTACCTTCAGGGTCTCTCCCTGAAGATCTCATGGAACCATTAACCGTCCAGGCTCGCCAACTGGCTCTGAGCATTCCGTTTCTACCTCTCTAGTGGTGCTGGGATTACAAGCATGCCACCATGCCCATCTGGCTTTTGTGTGAGTACCTGAGATCTGAACCCTGGTCTCCTGCTGTATGGCAAGCACTTAGGCCACCTCTGCAGCCCCGAATGTGAGCTTACTTGAAAACAACAACAACAACAATAGATGTTTGCAGATGTAAGGATGTTGGAACCGAACTCATCCTATATGCAATGCAGTGTTGCTGAGAGCACAGATATTGGAGACAGAAGAGGTCTCAGAGAAATGGAGGAAGCTATTGGACATCCAGGTAGATGTGGCCATACATCAAGGAACAATGACAGCTGCCAGAAGCAAGAGGAAACATTTTGCCCCTAGAGGCCTCCAGAGTGAGTGTTAATCTGCTGGCCCACTGATTTCTGACTGCTGTCTCAAGATTTTGCAGGAATAAACCTCTGCTGCTCTAGGCCATTGAACCTGAGATGCAACAGGCTCTTCTTCTCTGTAAGGGACGTATTCAAGATCCCTACTGTGTATGCTTGA